CAGAATCACAGAGCTTCTGGTTGAAGAAGTCCAGAGATTACAAGGTTTACTGATGACATTTCTTTTTAATAAATGCTTTTGGGTCCTCTTACAGAATATAGTGTACAGGACTAGTTTCAGTACCATTCCCCAGATCTAATGAGATGTGGTGTTTCTCCTCTTCAAATAACTAAATAAAGTTATTTCCTTCTTATTCATTTTGGAATGCTAAAAACTTATAGAGCAGAAAGTAAACACACTAAATTGATGGTTATTATTGGGGTATTTTTTCCTTTTTTTTTCTTTTTTGTGTATGTATTTTGTTTTTTTCCCCAACTTTATTGAGATAAAATAGACATATATGTAAGTTTAAGGTATACAGTGTGATGATTTTGATACACATATATACTGCAAAATGATATCCATAGTAAGGTTAGTTAATATCTTCATCCCCTCATGCTATTTTTTCTTAACATTATATTTTAAATTTTCCTCGTATTACCAGAAATTCTTCATAAACATAATGTTTGAATCCTGAATCAATGATACAAACTTAACTTTTATGTAATTTTAAGTTTTTTCCAACTTCCTTACTGCCATTTATTACATTATAGTGCATGCCTTTGTTTATAAATCATAATTACTGAGTCAAAAGTATGGACGTTTCTTAGGCTCTTGTACATATTTGTTAACTACCCCAGAACAGTTACATCAGTGTACATTTTCATCACCAGTTTTGACAGTCTCTCATTTTTTTGCCTGAATTTTATAAACTTCTTTGCCAAAGTCAAGTACTAAAAAATGGTGTTTATTTTTATTTGCATGTCATGAGTACTTCCATCTTTTGTCTAGTTTTGAGAGAAGAGTACTGAACTATGTGAGATAATTTTAGGAAAAGTTCAAATGAGCAAATCATTAAAAATGATACATGCATATCCTAAACATTTATTTTAAACTTGAAATACATATCTGTATATTTCTTTGATTTTTGACTCAGGCCTTTGAGTATACGGGTTTGCCACTTGGAGTGGAATGTTATGTTTCTGGCATAAACCACATCCATACTGCACTGTTTATAAGGTCCAATTTCAGGATAACATTCGAAGCAAGCTGAATGTGGAATCTAGACTTTTATACTTTATTTTTTCTAATATTTTGCATGTGTCTCACTACATCAAAATTGACAGCAATTTTTTTTTAAACATTTTATTTATTTGACACAGAGAGACACAGCGAGAGTGGGAACACAAAGCAGGGGGAAAATGGAAGAGGGGGAAGGAGGCTTCCCGCTGAGCAGGGAGCCTGATGTGGGGCTTGATCCCAGGACCCTAGTATCATGACCTGAGCCGAAGGCAGACGCTTAACGACTGAGCCACCCAGGCACCCCAAAGTTGACAGCAGTTTTTAAGTAACTCATCTTTATTGAATGCCTTGGAAGCATTCAGCTTAGTTTTCATGGAGGCAGTGGTTCCCTCTTGCATTCACTTTTTGTTATTTAATAAAATGTGTTGTCATAATTACAAGCTCAACTGATTTAAACAGCCTTAGGAACAAAATTATTTGCTTCTTGGTGAACAGACATTTCCACTGGTGGAAGTAGAAACAAGGTGGTAGGATACTAGAATGTAGCCTACCAGCCAAGAGCATTGAGGATATTTGAGGGAGGGATTTGGGAACATTGCTTAACCTGACAAGTCATTTAAAATAGAAACTGGTATTTAGCAAACTTTCAGTTCTAATATTCTCTGAAACCAAGATTTACTTGTAATGGGGGGGGTAGAAATTAATCTTAAATCCTACTTATATCTTGCCTTCCCTCCTTTCCATTTTTGAATAATTATTTTTTTTTTTAAAGATTTTTTTTTTTATTTATTAGAACGCACGAGCAAGGGGGTGGGGCAGAGGGGAGAGGGAGAAGAAGACTCCCTGCTTTACAGGGAGCCTGATACAGGACTCGATCCCAAGACCCTGGGATCATGACCTGAGCCAAAGGCAGACGCTCAACAGACTGAGCCACCCAGGTGCCCCATTTTTGAATAATTATTAATTATGTACCTTGTGCTGTGTCAGGTATAGTGAATAAAGAGATTAGCAGTACAGTTTCTCTTCTCAAGGAATTGAAATCCAAAGAGGGAGACACTGTATGGTGCTGTCACTTGGTTTTCTGCTTTAAGTACCAGCCTAGGAGTATGAGCCATACAATTGTGAAGGACAGAGTAGGATTACTCCACTCAGTCTGTCAGTGAGAAAAAAATTTCCAAGTGAGGCTTGATCTTCAAGAATGGACAGGAATTAGCTTAGGCTTTCAGAATAGGAGGGAATAGCATGCACATCTTTTACAAGGAAGATTAGCAATCTTCTGAGTGTCTGCTGACCCATTCAGAATTGCCATATGTATGTGTGTTTGTTCTTTCGTTCGTTTATTCATTCCTTCAGCAGTGAAACTCTCACCCTGGTCTTCCCCCATGCTTTGTGATAGTGATTATTGCTTCTGAACAGCCACATATCTATAAGCTGCAGAAATGGATGAATGTGAAGCACAGTCTTGTGTCCCATCTTCTCTGTCCTTCTTTACTCTTCCCTAGAGACGTTATTAATTAATTCAGGGAAAGTACAATAATGAGCACCATTTGTCAAACACTTACAATGTACCAGACATTTTCTTAGTGTTTTACATATTTTCTCATTTATTTTAATCTGTATTGCCACCCTGTAAGGTAGGAATTAGAATCTCCATAGATTCTAATTAGATCAGGATCTAATTAGATCTCCATAGAATCTAATTAGATTAGATCAGTAGATCAGGAAACTGAACCTGGAAAAGTTAAGGCAAATTGCCAAAAGCTTTACTGTTGGAATTGATGAACGTAAATTTGAAGCCATGTTTCTCTAAGTCAGAAAGTCCATCTCTTAACCATTGTGCCAAGATTTACAGTTTTGAGGACTCACTCTAAATCACAGGAGAATGTTTGGATACTTTTTTCCATAAGATTCTCCTAGACAATTATGTTTGAATATCCAAAGATAATTGAAAACTTGTGTTGAGGTTTAATTAAGTCACTGATAGTTATGTAACTCAAATTTAAATTATATGAATTTTTTCTTACTAGATTATAGTTCCCATAAGACATGCCAGTCAATCAAAATGGAAAGAAAGCTCCCACCATCCCTATACCCTCCTTGCACTACTCGCCTCACTTCTCTCTCATTAGAGTGTGGATGATTAGTGCCCTGACCAGTACTGCAAATCCTGAACAGTCTACTAAATGCCCTCCTTATCCAACCTCCGATGTATAATCTGACTTAAATCACCTTTCTGGCTATAGCTGTCCTTGGATGCTTTTGCCCTGGCGATCTCCCTCTACTTCACTTGCACTATCAACCCTCCGACCCCACACCACTGCCACTTCCGCCACAACCCCTGTCCGAGACACACGTAAACACATCCCCATTCTCTAGTATCCTCAAACTCAAAATTCCTTTAACATACTTTTTTTTTTTTTTTTAAACATTGCTGTGCGTTTGCTCTTGCTTGTCCAGTGCCCTTCCCACTCATCTTCTGTTACCAACCTGGGAAAATCCTGCTTATCCTTTAAGTTCCAATATAAATGTCACCTCTGTGAAGCCCTCCCTTCCCCTTTCTCCAGAAGAGGCTGTGTTTATCACTTTCCTTCTCACTTTGAAACATTCTGTTTATGTCTTTGGTAGAGCCCTTAACATATTCATTTTCTTTCTCTCTCTGTGTTTCCCCTGCTCCTGAATGGGAGTTCCTAGGTTAAGTTATTATCTTTTACCCTTAGTGTTCACCTGTAGTAGCTTATCATACTGAATTGTTACTGATAGTGATAATAACCTTTATTAAGTGCATCCTATGTCTTAGGCACTGTGCTTGATGTTTATACATATTAATTCATTTAATCCTCCTTTCATCCTATGATACAGGGACAGTTATTTCCCCCATTTTACAAAGTAGGAAATTAAAATTAAATGAGGCAAAATAACGTGACCAGCGTAATACAGCAAGTGAGTGATGGAGTCAAGATTTGAACCTAGAGTGTCTGACTCCAGAGTTCATTCTTTATACCTATAGGAACAATCAAATTGATTAAGTGCTCTGGGAAGTTATCAACAACTAGGAGATGCATTCTCTATTGAGACCAACCCTGAAAGGCTAAAAAGAAGGATATAAAATACCCCATCACCAAAGGAAGGAGTGAGGTCCCTTGGAGAAGGCTTAAGAATCATTTGAAAAATTTTGTGTGATCACAAGAAGAGAGTCAAAGGACTCTGCTCTGATCACCGGTAAAGTTAGGTTCAGAGCACGCAGTACCTGGACAGCTACCCCTCACACATTGTTTTTATAGACAGTGAATGAGAAAAAGTGAAAAGCCAGTGTTGGGCTGAGGGATGTTGTAGATCATCAAATGCCAGAGCTCCCCTTTTATAAAGGAGAAGACCAAGGTTCAGATTAATTAATTAACTTGCCCAAGGGCACATAGCTAATAAATAATAGAGCTTGGACTAGAGTCCCAATTTTCTGAGTCCCAGTTCAGTGCCCTTTTTACCACAGTGTGCCCTATATTAGAGTTGCCATGTTCATCTTTGGAGAGAAAAATGCTAGACCAGGGCAGAAATGACTCTTTGAAGGAAACAGCTTGATGCTTTTGGAGCTGGTCAGCTTTTGCCCAAGACCTGCTGCTATTTTGGGCTCTCAGTTTGCTCAGAACTAAATACTGCCAGCCATACAAATAAAAAGGCAAGGCTATTATTTAGGCCTCCTAGGTCTGGGCATTCACTTACCTGCTTGCAAAGGCAAATTATCAGTTGATCTCTGCTGGACAGTTCGAGCATAGGATTATATTAGCCCTTGTCTTAGCCCTTGGACATCTGCTGGTTTGTCTGTGTTAAAGTAAATGCACAAGCCTTGCTTTCAGGTTGCAAGAGGGGAGGGAAAAGAAAGAAATCTAAATCTGTTTCTACCAGTGTTGATTTCTAATGCTGTTTCTTTCTGTTTCTTTCAGGGTGACGAGGAAGGACCCAGGTAAGATCACATTATTGCTGCTTGTCTGTTCTCAGAATTGAAGTAGAGTGACATTTGTGGCCTTTTAATGCCCCATGAAATAGGGACAGCCAAAGAACAGCACAGAAAAGGGATCAACATCTTAAGTCAGGGCTTTGAAAATCTTATTTTGTAAGACTCCCATCTCCTTCCCCATCTGTGCCATTTCCTGCCTGTAACCTTCAGATAAAGGTAGACTTTAAAGTATGTAATGACAGTAACTTCAGAATACCTTGCTAGGAAGAGTAGGCACTATATTTAAATGGTAATTAGGCTATCAGGTGGACTGCCTAGATAAACTTTTGCATTGTTCTTTCTTGATTGGAATTGGATTGCTTTTTTTAATGGGCTTTGGGTCCAATATTCTTTGTTTCTGACGTATAACATTTTTGCATCTGACTCAAGACACTGATACCGTGAATCCTAAGTCATAGGTATTACGTTTCTTTTTTTTTTTTTTAAGATTTTATTTATTTATTTGACAGCAAGAGAGGGAATACAAGTAGGGGGAGTGGGAGAGGGAGAAGCAGGCTTCCTCCTGAGCAGGGAGCCGGTTGCAGGGCTCGATCCCAGGACCCTGGGATCATGACCTGAGCCAAAGGCAGATGCTTAACAACTGAGCCACCCAGGCGCCCCGGTATTACATTTCTTAACTTGGTTTAGGAAAAAGAAGAGGCTCCTTTCTGCTTCTGTATCACCACATGAAATGTGAAAGTGTATTTCATTATTGCCTCAGCCTTGCAGTAAACCTAGAGTTTGGTTTCCTTACTTTTGCTGTCATGCTGCTCAGTGAAAACAGGCTCCAGGAAATGCTGCAGCTTTGCCATCCACACAGTCAAGGGGCATTTGTACAAAGTAAAAGGAAATGTCCAGGTGGGTCCTGTGTCACATAGGATCAAGAACTGTTCAGGCTGGGAAGTATCAGAGAGTTCAGTTAGGGCGCTGCTATTCAAGCTTTAGTTTTAGCAGAAGTGGCCCCCCCCTTTTTTTCAAATGAGCCTTTAAGTAGAACCCCAATATACAAAGAGTTTTTCTCTGGCTAAAGTTGGGGGCCAGATCCATTGGTGAACCTTCTCTCTTCAATACAATAGACCCTGAGGGGCTTCTGCAGAAACCTAGGGTTCCAAAGAACTCAGTTTGTGAAAATCACTTACCTAGTTCAAATTTCTCATTGAAAGAAGGTACATGAATTGTCCAAGGTTACCTTACTGGAACCAAAATTCAGTCCTTCTTTGGTTTATAAACCAACAAAGAAAGTTTCTTCTTTTTTCCTTCTCCGTCCCCACACCCTCTGCCAGTTTCTTGGTGCCAAACATTATCGCACATCTGCATCTCTTGGTGCTTCTTTCCCTTGAGAACTATGGTTCTCAGCCTAGATCTAGCTCCTTGTCTACCGTGGCTAAAGCCACAGGCACCCTGCTTTAGAACTGCAAAGCCTCAGGGAATTTCTTCAAATTCACCTTCCAGCCATTCTCAGGAACAGGCTCCCTCTGAATTGCAGTTTTTCTTTCCTCCCTCTCTCCTTCCTTCCACTCCCTCCCTTTCTTTTCTCATGACCTACCATGTGTCGGGCACTGTGTTACTCACTGGGTATATAGTAATAACTAAGACAGACATGGTTCCTGTCTTTGTGGGAGAAATAAGCATATCACCGGGCCCTTATACTGTGGGACAAGTGCTATGACTGAGGGAAGTTTAGGCTGCTTTGTCAGTCTTGGAGGGTAAGGGAAGGCTTACCAGAAAAGGTCATATATAAACAGGGCGCTGAAAGATGAGAAGGCAGGCAAAGGAGGAGCAGGGGGTAGGGGGTAGGGTTGTTCTAGGTAGACAGAACAACTTGTGCAGAAGCTCTAGACAAGAGAAGAGTGGAAGAAAGAAAGCAGAATCCAGATCCTTTAGGGCCTTATAGGCCTTCTAAGGTGTTTGAGCTCTGTCTTGAAGGCTTGGGAAAGCTTGAAAGAATTGTAAACAGGAATTAACCCAAGTAGATTTGCATTTTGGAAGTCTCCCCTGCCTTAACTGGAAGTGGATTAACACCAAGAGCGTGGGAGGCTAGTTAGACTACAGTAGTGATGATGGGAGCCTAATCCACATCTTTTCTAGTTATTGACCAGGTGTTTACCATTTTGCACAGACCTTTGGTTTCGACAGAGTCTAAATTCTCTCCTTGGCACTTCCATCTCTCCTATTGTCTAGACTAGCTCTAGCTCCTTAAAATCCAGGCCAAACAGAGCCCTAGACTTTCTTCTTTCCCAGAAAGAGCGTTCAGACAAGACCAGTATAATGAAAACACCTTAGCAGATGTCATGTAGCTTGGAGGAACCTGATTAGGATGAACGCACTCATTTGTCTTCATGGTTACATGTCAGAGTCACGTTGAGTAGAAGAATACAGGGACCTTATGAAGAGATAAGCTTGCTTCAGAGGTACTATTTAGTGTAGATACTGGTTTTAGAGTTTAATTGCGGATACCTTCATGTCATTTTGACAAGATAGTCGTGAAGCATAGAGTTTCTTTACTAGCAACCAAGATAATCAAGCTGTCTCCTTCGAGCTAGGCTATCATGGATGTCAGCAGGGAATCTGTTATACCAGGACTTGATAGAACCCTCTTTTGGTACAATGACAGAACCCTTTTTTGGTATAATGAACCCTTTGGTACAATGAAGAGCATGTTCTAATTTGACAGAAGAAAACAAAGTCAAATTTTCTTTTTAAACTTTAAATTTATATTTGTTGGTTCCATTCAGTTTGTGTTGAACTACCATTTGGCTCAGTTAATTCCAGTTAACACTTCAGGGCAGATTGCCTTTGATCTGAAATTCTCTCATTTATGATACACGTTTTACCATCTCAATAAGCCAAACAGAGTTTTGTTCCAGAGGCTTCTGTATTGCTGAAAGTATTGAATGAAAATATTGAATGAAGGGAAGTGTGGGTGTGCCTGCACAGGGGATGGAAGAGAATGAATTGGGAGACTCTGTGTCCAGGCCTCTAGGATTAGGACACTTGTGTCTCCCTTGCTGGCATTCTTTCCATTCAGCCGCTTGTCCACCATCCGCACCCAAGTCCAGTTAGACTGGGCTCCAGCCATTCCACAGGAACAAAGGGAAAGCCCTGTGCTATGGATACATATTTGTCTGTAATAGAGCTTGTGTCCTCCCTCCTGCCAGCCTCCCTGCCTTCTTTCCTTCTTTTGGTTCTGATTCCCCAAGCCATTTGACGTGAAGCGTCCCAATATTGTGCTGTTGGTCATGCCTATTCCTGGTCCTGAATTTTATTGTGTAGTTGTCCTGCTGATTAATAACAATAATCATAGCTATCATTTATTGAAGGTTTACTGTGTACGGTATTTTATATCACTTCTCATTTAATCCTCATGTAAAGCTTATGATGTAATTATTAGCCCACTTGTAAAATGAGGAAATTAATGCTCAGAAAGATTAACTTGCCCTAGATCACAGAGCCAGTAAGCAGCAGAGCTAGGATTTGAATCTACTCTGGCTTCAGGGTTCACGCCCTGCACCGCTGTTGGGACTATCTGCCCTTACCTGCCCTCGTCTGCCAGTGCATTTCTTTCTGTGACCCTGAAGGAAAGCCAGGAGGATTCATGCATACTCCTCAGAGGATCGCTTTGCTCTTATTCCTCGAACCTAGGAGGTCTTACTTGCTTTGACATTGAATTGCTAGGGCCTCTGTTTTCTGCAAGCTATTTCTCCTCTCCTTAGCCTCTGTCATTATAAAGGGGTATTTCTTCATTTCACCCTCACACAGTGCCCTTTCAGGGTCAGCAGCAAAAGGGGTACTTTCAGACTCCCTGGGGAGCAGACAGCCAAGCCTTCCTTTGACCCTACAGAATTCCCTGCCTGTTGCCCCTGTGTTTGGTGGTTTACTCTTCAAATCCATGCTACAGTTACATAGATGGCAAGGATTCTTGGAGGGCATGGACGAACAGAAATTCTAATCTGTAGAACATGGATATTAACCACCATGGAGTCATGTTTTAAGAGGGTGTCTTTGAAGCCCAGAGTGATTTTTTTTTTTCAAGTAAAAAAAAAGCAATTTACACTTTCGGCAGCAATTTTCTGTCTTCTCTGTGCTATTATGGGAGATCTTGTGTTCACTCCCTCACAGATTGGCTCCTCAACTCCTGCCGGAGCCTGCTGAGAAATAATATATATTCGAGGAGAGGGGGTGGCAGTAGGATCTGCTGCCTCGAAGCCGTTTTGTAGTGGGAGGAAGTCAGAGAGGGAAGGACCCTGAAACTCTTGTGCTCAGAGGAAAAAGGAGCAAGATCAATATTAAATCTTGATTTGCTATTGAGATTTTCTGTGCTTTTTTTTTTCCTTAAACTTAGAGGGAAATGGCTTTTTAATAGTAACAACCATATTTGGGACTTCTGTGGAATATTTTATCTTCAGAGCTGGCTCTTATTCAGGCAGAAAGCTCCTGCTGAGATCAGTGTGAATCTGACCCATGCTGAGTCTGTGATTAAACAGGTAGCGAGTTCTGAAGGAGTAGGAGCTCAAGGAGGGTCTTGAGTCTCCTATTCTATTCTTGGTCTGCCTGAGACTGACTGTGTGACCTTGGGCTAGTCATTCAACCTCATTGCCTCTTTGTAGGCTGTTTTTATTTCCCTGTAAACACTAGCCTTTCTTTCCCCCGCTCCCCACCCAGTTTTTTGGGGCTAACGTTGTGTGAAGCAATAGTCTTATATCACATATGGAGTGGAAGGAATCTGCCTATATATTCTGTAATTTAGTAGATTTTTAAAAAATATCCTCAATTTTGTTTCTTTAAAAATTTTCTTGGGGCTGTATACTAGGTACTCTGCCCCCTCCCCCAAATAATAACCATGTGTTCTTAGATATGACATTTCTCTTCTTGACAACTTAGTTTGGAAACATAAAAAGGAACTAAGTCAATGATACACTTAGGTTTCTTTTGTCCCCTGATTGCAAATTCCTGGTTTGGTTTTTGCA